CTGAAGAGTGTATACTTTACAAGCGACTTATTTTTAAGCACCCATATAAATAATATATTTTACTCTGTCAGAGTCCCATTTATAACCTTTCTACCATTTAATAGCAAATGCATTCCTGCATTCCGGGTAGGTGCCTCCAGAAGGTTTCAACTGTTTACCTGAAGGCCAAACAAGTTCTGGAATCATATGAAATCAATCATTAACAAAGCGATGAGACATGTGCTTCTGGTAACACTGGTTTCTTCCCTTTTCAGGATTGAAGGGAGAAGAAAAATGGCTCCAATGACAGCCAGAGGACAGAGGTCACAGGGAGTCATAAAAGCCCGAGGCCTGCTACCACAGCCCTTAGAATTGAACTTCCAGGTCATCATTTCTAAAATGAAAAAAATGGGCCACTGTGCCAAGCTCCCAACCCAGAATCCAAAACTGCCCAGCTTTCTCCAAAACTCCAGCTCAGCGGCCAGTGACAGCAGCTGAGCACATCCAGCCTCCCACGTGGTGCATCGGAGGTGGCCTGCTGCCCTGGAAACGTGCTCCCGTGCTGCCTGCTCACCCCAGGATCACCCGCAGCGTTTCTGAAGGGAGCTCCTTGGGCCAATCACGTGGTGATCCCTCCCAGGGGCGGGGTCCGAGAAGGCCTTCTCTCAGTTGGTGTTATCAGTGCCCTGTCTGGCCTTACAGGAGCACTTTCCCAACTTCCCTGGACTCAGCTTCTGCGATAAAAACAGTTGGTTACTTGTCATTGCTCATTCCACATAAATCATGTCCAAATGGGGTGATGTACCTGCTTATTCTTTCCCAGTACCCGAGATTGCTGGACTATCTTTGTGGGGCCCAATCTTAACACACCTTCTTCTCATTCCCCACAGAAGCTATTCCCAACCTGTGTCACTTCCTTGGGTTTTTTAGAAGTTGGCGCTCTCTAAATTTCTGCCTTTTCCTTAATTAAGGAATTCATTCCACTGCTACTTATTGAGGTCCAAGCCTTGAGATAAATCCAGCCCCAGCCAACACGTTGGTTACAGTTTTCAGAGAGACCCTGAGCCAGAAGACCCAGTTAAGCTGTGCCTGGATTCCTGGCACGCAGAAACTGTGAAGTAATAGATGTTGTTCTCAGCCACTCATTTTGGGGATAATTTGTTATGCAGTAATAGATAATTAACAGAGATTAAATAAAATGATAAAGAGCTTACAATAGTGCCTGTTGCACAGTCAATACGTATTAGCTATTATCACCGTCATTTTTATTACTTGTTTAGACCCACTACTAGACTGAAAGCTCTGTGAGGTGAGGGACCAGGCCTCCCTATTCGTCCACTGGGTCCCAAGTTCTGGTATAATGGTAGGCACAGAGTCCTTTATTAGAGTCCTTGCACAAAAATAAATATTTGTTGACTAAGAGAATGAACAGGAAGGAATGAACTGGGGCCTCTAGACTCTTACCTCTCAGGCTAGAAAGGGGGCCTCTGAGAGTTGGGGGACATTCTGAGTGCCCAGATTCCTCATCCAGCCAGAGATGGACCCTGGCCCCTTTGTGGTGGCACAGCTTTACTGAGCCCAAGCTGCATATTTCCCAAGAACACAGTTATCACAAAGCTAGGCCTTGTGTCCACCTGGAAGGCACAGAGAAAACAATGAAACCATCATCACCAACCTTCTCTCCTGGCCAGTGTGTGGCCAGGGAGGGCAGGGGAGAGGCTGTGTTTAACTTGGCTGGGTAACATAGTTTTTCTTGATTGGAGAAATGTATGCTGAGGGTTAAAAGAAGAAGGTAGTTCTCACCCAGGTGAGTTCTAGTCCTCAGAGGCCAGCCCCCTGTCTCTCCCCCCTCCCCCCCGAAAGTAATATACAAAGAACCTGTACCTTCCATCTGCACATCACCCACTCCTAGGAGCTTTAAGACTCAGTTCAAATGTCTCCTCCTCCATGACGCCTTCCCCAGCTTCCCTTGCTCCTGATGTGCCCTGGGCCTCATGCCTTCATTTAAGCGCTCTGTACTCCAGGTCTTAGTGAACGTACTCCCGGGAAGCCCAGCCCGCCAGGGCAAGGACTGTGTTTTTCAATGGGAAGTTTTGTCTTTAAAATGAAGGGGGGTAATGTGAGCTGGGAGGTGGACGGTGAGTGAGGCCCTGTCCCTGCTATTTGCTTTTGTACCCCTCCTTGCAGCAGAGCTGAGGAAGCAGAAGCCAGGGCTGACTGAAGTACGGAGAGCTGTCGCAGTCTGCATTCAGGAGTGGCAGAAAGAAACCTCTAGAAGGCATGGGACCCCCTTTGCACAATGTGGAGAGAGGACAGGGGTTCTGCGTGGCTGGTCCTGGCAGGGAAGCTCTGTGAAAGCGCTGTGCTCCCTGGAGTCAGGAAGTCCGGACCACAGGGTGCATCACCCAAAATCTGAGCTACTGTCAACTAAACCACCTCCCCCCTCTGAGCATTGACAAGGCTCTACCTTAGTCTAAGCCAGTGTTTCTCCAAGTGTGGTCGGTCCCCAGACCGGCAGCATCAGCGTCACATAGGACAGTGATGGCGAACCTTTTGAGCTCGGCGTGTCAGCATTTTGAAAAACCCTAACTTAACTCTGGTGCCGTGTCACATATAGAAATTTTTTGATATTTGCAACCATAGTAAAACAGACTTATATTTTTGATATCTATTTTATATATTTCAATGCCATTTAACAAAGAAAAATCAACCAAAAAATGAGTTCGCATGTCACCTCTGACACGCGTGTCATAGGTTCGCCATCACTGACATAGGACCTTGTCAGAAATTCAAACGTTCAGGCCTCATCCCAGACACACTGTGTGGGAAGTGTGTAAGCCCTCCGCGTAATTCGGATGCATGGCTAAGGTTGAAAACCACCATTGTAAGTACACTGCCCCGCATGTAAAAAAGACTCAGAAATACAATCTGGATTGGTTTAAAATGAAGATTAAATGAGAACCTAAGCCGATGCCCCTTGCTCTAAAATGCCCAGGATCAATAAAACTCCCCACTATCCTCCATGAAACAGTTCCACGGGCAATTTAATGAAATCAGCACATTTATTTTAAAATGTGCAAAATGATTTTTCATATCCTAAGAGTAACACCAGATGTTTTAGCTCTTTTTCCTAATTGATTTTCCAGCCTACAGCAATTCGTCTTTGTATTTTCCAGTTGGATCCTAATGTAGCAAGAAGAGCGTGTTCCGGCAGGATTATTAAATGCCATGCATTTTAAAACAAGCACAACTCAGGCCGCCATGCGTCATCTGAGTGGTTGTCTTCCCAATCTATTTTAGAAAGCCAGGCACTATAGGTACCAGGCACCTTTGAGCAGGCAGGAAACCCAGAAAAGGCCTTTGCGGGGGGCTGGGTCTCCAGGCTCTTTGCTGGTTGCAGAGCTGAGTCCTGGGCAGTGAGCCCAAGCCTGAGCTGTTCTCTGAGTCCTGCACTCCCTGGTACGAAAGCGTTTGCTAGCTGTAAAATCTGCAAGTCACATTTTGTTTTTCAATGGGAAGTTTTGTCTTTAAAACGAAGAAAAGAAAATGTGAGCTGGGAGGTGGAAGGTGAGCGGGGCCCTGTCCCCCCTCTGAGCCTGGGGAAGCCCAGACAATTCCCCTCTGTTGGCCAATGGGCCTGGCTGCACAGGAGGCCCTGTTCCCTGGGTGTTGAAGTGGGTGAAAGGTCACCAGCGACCAGGTTTGCCTCACTCAACAAAAGCTCTGGATGTCTGGGGAAAGACAGGGAAACAGAAGCCTTAAGCTTTAAAGCAAACTTCCAAATGGATCTTGTGGGGCTCTGCCCAGGGTGTGGGGAGAGTGGGGTGGGAGGGAAGAGGAGGGGAGCCACGAAGTGCTAGGGTCCCCAGAAAGTGCTGATTCCTAAAGCAAAACCCACACTTCTTAGGGCGTTGGGAGAGGCTGGCACTATCAAACTGCCTCCCCTCGAAGCTGCTGAGAGTTGGCAGGTCTGAGCCATCATGCCCCGACAGGATCCTCATGTGGTCTCCGAGTATGTCTGCTTGTCTGGTTCTGAGACCCCTTCAGCCAGCTAAGTGTCTGAAATTAGAGCTCATCAGGATTAAATCTTAGACTGTGACTGCTCCAACTTTAAGTAACTGCCCCCCACCCCCACCCCCAGCCCCAAACTCAGTGCTCTGTTCATACAGTGGCCATCTCAGTACTTAGAATAAAGCATTCTAGGTCCTGTATAGACACCCATGCCCATGAAAGTTCAGTGATAGAAGCCAGCTCCAGCCCCAAAGTAACAACCTGCAATTTCATGGGGTACAGTGTACAGTGGAACCTCGTTTCTCGAACTTAATTCGTCCTGGAAGGCTGTTCAAAAACCGAATCATTTTTCCCCACTAGAAATAATGTAAATTGAATTAATCTGACCCAGACCCCTAAATGATTCCCTGTTTTAGCCTTTCTTATACACAATACATGCCTATTGTATTGTTTAATCTATAAACACTTTAAAAACAAAAAGGACATGAAGTGAAAATTTAACATAAAGGAAATGTACAGTAAAAAAATGAAAGTTTTGACACTGGGTGCCTGGGTCATTTATCTTCCTCTGGGACAAGAGCACCCTGGTCTCCCATGGACACCCAACCCCCACACATCCCAAAGGGATTTCATCAGCACTTATTACAAATACTATCAGGGGAATGGAGTTGGTGGGAAGGAAAGACCTTGCTAGCAGAATTCTTCCCTTGCCCCAAAATCACTGGGTTGTTTTTACACACTATTAAACCACAGAAGGGGGTGTTGGGGGGCTGGGTGGAGGGATTGAGCAAAAAAGAAAAAACCCATGGACACAGACAACAGTATGGTGACTGGGGAGGGGTAGAGGAGGGATAAATGGTGATGGAAAAGACTTGGCCTGGGGTGGTAAAAATGTAATACAGTATACTGATAATGTGTTGTAGAATTGTGCATCTGAAACCTGTATACTTTTGTTTACCAGGGTCACCCAATAAATTCAATAAAAAGGAAAAAATTAACCACAGGAGCCATTTTATAAATGTCATCATCATAATTTTTTAATATTTTACATAAAAAAACTGTATACACAGCTTATAGAACTTTTATGTAAACATCATAAGCTCACCACTTTGTCATTTGTCAGTTTATCTTAAAAATAAAAAACAAGACAACAATTTAGTAGAAGTACCACTGGGTGGGGAAGGGAGGGGGAGGAAGGCGGCTAGGGGCAGGTTCATTCTCTGTACAGAGATGCAGAGAAAATTTCACATAGCTTTAGACACTGCCTTGTGAAGAAAAGAGGGGGGTTTAAGTAGGCCCCAATACTCGTTACTGCCCTTTCTCAGAACAGTGCGCATACCTGCACAAATAAAATCGCAAAACGGTGTGGCCACTTTCTTTCAAGAAAACAAAATAAAAATTAGTGGTTTCTTTTTCAACTCTCATTTTAAAAGTCATCATCATTTTTCTTTAAAACATCAGAAGTCGATGAGGTTACAGCGTACAAGTGTGGTCAGAATGCTACTGTCTTACACAAATGACAAGTGCATTGTGTCAATGAAACAATTGTGCAAAGAATCCTTTCAAAAGAAAACAAGTTTTAAGCCTTTAAATAAATCAAAAACCTCGGTTTCTTGGACTGAACAATTTTCACTTGTAGGACAGGCACAAAGTTCGCGTATGGCAAAAACAACCCGCAGCTCACTCTCCCTCCTCCTGCCCGCGGCTGGCTGGCGAGGGGTTCGCTGGAGGCTGGCGTGCAGGAGACGGCAATCTGGAAGCTGTGTCCTCTCAGCCCCAAGTCAGTTGCAAATGTCTTCCCCAGGGGTTGGAAAGATGACCAAGTCCTGTTCTTGCTTGGATGGGCGCCTGACCCAGAGCTGTTCTAGCGCCCTGTCACTCCACCCACCACCACCATTAAATAACACCATCCTACCTCCGAAAATAAAATTATATCTATATTTATATAACACCCCGCCCTCCCCACCCTCCCCTCCCGCCGTTCCCGTGGTCTATGTTACAGACAAGAGATAGCAGGCGCTCGCTGGTGACGGGCGCACATCTGATGGGGCGCGGCAGCACCGGGGCGCCAAGCTCCTCTCCCGGGACCAGAGGCGGGGGTGGGGTAGGTAGCACGGGGGCGGGAGGCAGGGGGCGGGGGGGGGTCGAACATACAGCCACACACTCTGAAGAGGCTTGGCTCTTCCGAAAAGGGTGCTCAGGGGCCCCTTGGCACTCGGCGGGGCGCCTGGGCCTGTGCAACTGCAGCCGGACGCACACAGACACTGGAAAGGGGACGCCCGGTGCCTCCCACGCCGGTTCTCGGGCGGGAAGGCGGACGCCAGGCAGTCCGGTGGGGTCCTCGGGGGGTGAACGGCCCGGGGGGCGGCTCTCATAGCACCTTGCAGCAGTTGATGCAGCCGTTCTGGGAGCCGTAGCGCTTCTGCAGCGCGGCGCGCGTGGCCGTCTCGAAGACCTCGCGCACGCCCTCCTTGGTCTTGGCCGAGCACTCGAGGTAGTCGTAGGCTTGGATGCGCATGGCCATGGCGCGGCCGTCATCCGTGCGCACGGGCTCCTGCTTCATGCGGGCCAGCTCCGTGCGGACGTGCTCGTCGCTGCGCAGGTCTTTCTTGTTGGCCACCAGGATGATGGGCACGTTGGGGCAGAAGTGCTTCACCTCGGGCACCCACTTCTCGGGGATGTTCTCCAGCGAATCGGGGCTGTCCACCGAGAAGCACATGAGGATCACATCGGTGTCCGGGTAGGAGAGCGGCCGCAGGCGGTCGTAGTCCTCCTGGCCCGCCGTATCCCACAGCGCCAGCTCCACCTGCTTGCCGTCCACCTCGATGTCGGCCACATAGTTCTCGAAGACGGTGGGCACGTACACCTCGGGGAACTCGTCCTTGCTGAACACGATCAGCAGGCACGTCTTGCCGCACGCGCCATCGCCCACCACCACCAGCTTCTTGCGGATGGCCGCCATGAGCGGGCCGGGGCCGGGCAGCAGGAGGGGCCCCGCGAACGCCTCGCTGCCGTCCCGCTCGCCGCTCACTGCTCACCTCGGGCTGGGGGGGCAAGGGTCGCTAGCTGCACCCAGGCCCCGCGGAGGCGCGTCCTCTCCGTGCGCTCGGGCAGCCGCGGCGGGGGCGGCGGGGGCGCGGGGGCATAGGGCGCCCTGTGCGTCTCAGCGCGGCTCCCGGGCGGTGGCCGCTTTTCTCGCCTCGGACCCGGAGTCGGCGCCTTTGTGCGCAAACCGCAGGTCAGGCAGCGGCCCCGGCCTAGCTCCCTCCGGGCCTCTCCGGGCCGCGCCAAGAAGCGAATGCGGGAGAGAACTCGACTCCGGCCAGACTGCGGTGGCAGACGCTGGCTGCGGCCCTAGCGCCCGCTATTTAAAGAGTTCGGCCACTTTCTTAATATAGCCGCCCAATGGGAAGCGAGCCGACTGAGCTCATCGCTGCGGAGCTCGGCTCTGATTGGCCGTTTGCCGCAGCCCTGAGGCGGGGCCGGGCGAACTTGATTGACGGCCCAGGCCGCGGGGCTGGGAGAGGCAGCGACCGGGGAGTCTACGCCCCCGGCTGGCGCTGCAGGGCGCTGGGGACACCGGGTTCCCTTCTTCACCGCAGCTTTTCCGCGGCGGGCCCGGCCCGGGCGGGAGCTGGCTGCCCGGAGTCCACGGGCTCTGGGCGAGCGCTGCCGAGAGGCGGCATTTTGCGGGGCGTTGACGCCTCCATCCCACTCAAAATGCCCCTCTTTCTTTGCAAACTCCCAGCGGGCGGTCGGACCTGTGGGGGAAGAGGGCGGCACCTTTAACGAGGGCTTGTTTTTATATAAACACACACACACACACACGTTTGTTTCCAAGCAAGGTGTTTTTGTTTTGTTTTGTTTTGTTTTGTTTTGTTTTGTTTTGTTTTAAAAGCGGCCCCTCTCTGGTCTAGTTGGCCACCCCACCCCCCTTTATCCAGTTCCTCCCCGGGGCAGCCCTAGGTTTGGACCCAGTGGTTGGAGACACTACTGTGAGCTCTGTGAACCAGCTCACAGCCTCGCGGCTCCTCCAAGTCCTACCACCTACCCCCTTCCCGGCCCCCAGCCTGGGTCTGTCCATGGAAATTAGGGGAAGGAGGAACAGTGAAAAGGGAAGGGCGAAGCTGGATGCAGAACTTCATGTCCACTTGGAGAAAGTTACGAAACAGGAAAAAAAAAAAGACAGCCTGGCCCTGGTTTGCATGATTAATTCGGATTCTGGTGTCAGAAGTAGATAGTACAATAAAATTTAACCACCCACACCCCACTGGGCAAGAAGAGGCCGGGGGAAGAAACTTGAAGATGGGGACCCAGCAAATTAGTGTCTTGAGGGGTGCGAGGTCTCTCGTCCCCAGTCGCACACTAAGACTTAATTCATCCATCCCAGGAATCCTGCAGGAGAGGACTGAGTCAAGGGATTTCCAAGGATAGAAGACGTAGGAAGGGGGAGGGGAAGCAGGGTGAGCCTACCAGGAAGGAGCAACCCCAGGAACAAAAGCAGGGAGGTGTGAAAGCGGAGGACACACTTCAGCGACTGGGACCAGCTTAGTGTGGCTGCACTTGGAGGAAGTTGGGACTCAGTTTGGGCCTATGGTGGGGGCTAGAGCACCCACTGAGCAGGTGGAGCTATATCTGTTGTAGAGGGATGCCTATTGGTTTTTCAGCACAGGAGGGACATCACATTATTGCTTCATCTTTCTGCCTCCCTCTCTAAGACTGGCAGCTGTTGGAGAGCCAGGATTCTGTCATATCTCAGCATCTTGGAGACCTAGCACAATGCCTGACAGTATACACAAGTCGGTAAGTGACTGGAGAATTCACCTAAGTGTGCTGGAACCCATTGGAACTTTCTGGGGGTCTCCTACCTCGAACTCCAGACTCTGCATTAACAACTATCCAACCCAATCACCTAACTGAGCCCTGCTGTTTTCACCTCTGATTCATAAACTGGGGTCGAGGTCCCTATCTGGATACTACAGATTGAAAACCGGGTCTATGAAGACATGATGCTGCAAACCCTAGAGAACAGCTCATCCAAAGAACCAAGTGCTTCCTTCACAATGGATTAGCTCCGCACAGTGCCCAGCTTTCTGGTTTTGTTCTTCAGATCCAAGGACCTGAACCGTCAACAAATAAATAATTTTTCCGAAGTGGGATCCACTGGGAGATAATCAGCTATTTTGATCATTGGTTTAGTGTCATGGAACAGAAATCGTTCCTTCACCTGGCGTTAGCAGAGTCAAACATTGAGAATTACAGTGAAGAAAGACTGGCTATTTTATTAGGAATGGCACCACCCAGGAGAATGGGAAGCTAATGCGGGAAAGAAATCCGGTCCCTGATGTATGTAGGTTACAGATTATATAGGGCAAAATCATAAGACCCTGTGGGTTAGGGGGTTCAAGGTCGTGCTGGGAGCTGATTGGTTAGAGATGAGGTAAGAGTAATAACTCATGTATTCAGCATCTCTCTGTCTGGTTTCATGGGAAAGCAGCCAGGGAATCTTTCCACCTAAGGGCTCTGGAGCTGAGACATAACTTAAGTCAAGATGTTGTCTTTAGCAGCTAGAGGTCCAGACCTATGACCATGAAGACCAGCTGCTGTCTTCTCCTGACTCAGGGATTGCTGACTATCCAGGGGCAAGGCTAGGTCTCTGAAGAGTATAGAAAAAGATATACTTTCTAGAGCTAGGGCTTAAAGCTAAATTTAATAAAAAATCATAAAGACCCTCAGTTTCATTAGGGCTCCAGTGGAGACATGTTTTTCTTTTCCGTCTTTTCTTTTTCAGTTGGCCTAGTAGAAAACTCTTATCTGCATGTTTCTTTTTTTAGTCAAAACCTTTTATAGCTGTACTATTAATACTACTTTCTTTGGTCTTAACATATGCTGGAAATATTGGCCATGTTCTTAAACTTCAAATATTTTAAGAAACCAAACAATTAAAAGTTTGTAGTACATGTTTGTTTGTTTGTTTTTTAACTGAAATACAAAGAATCAGCCTGGCCGGTATGGCTCAGTGATTGAGCATCAACCTATGAACCAGGAGGTCACAGTTCGAGTTCCAGTCAGGGCACATGCCGGAGTTTTGGGCTTGATCCCCAGTGGGGGGTGTGCAGAAGGTGGCCAATCAATGATTCTCTCTCATCATTGATTGATATTTCTATCTCTCTCTCCTGCTCCCTTCCTCTCTAAAATCAATTAAAATTTTTTTTAAATAATCAGGAAGAAGGATTTAATTCATTCATTTTCTGATTCTCACATATATTATATGAGGTGTTTCAAGCTTGAATCTCAATATCAAAATAATTCTAAAAATATTCAGTTGGTAAATATGCCAAAGTAAACAAATAGAAGAATCCATGTTCTGCAGCAACTGCTTTTCATGGTTTTCATTTTTTGGGTCCAGGATACTTTTGTCCAATGCAAGCTCTGTGGAGACTGGCTACTTCGAAGACTGCTCCATTCACAGGATAAACTCACTAGGTGACAGCTAGTCTCCTCCCTTCCCAGTACACTCCCACTGAAAAGCAAGGGTAAAACTGGTTGTCTATGAGAACAAATCATTTTAATATTTAACTTTATTAACATAGATTCATTGTATGACAGATTCCCACACCGGTGAGAGAGGGAAATTATCCTTGAGACAAAAGAAAGATATTTATCTATCTCCAATCTTCAGCTTCATTTATTTGGTCTTCATTTTGTCCAGTGTCCCCTACAGGTCTGTAAAACCACCCCCCAACTCCTTCCAGAGAAGACCAGACTGGAATGTTCATTAGATGTTAGCGCCACCTTGTGGCAATCTTATATATGATTCTAGAAAACCTTATCTAACCTAAAAGCATGAATTTCATGACTTTTTATTTTGCGATCTTTCATGGAATGTATTTATAGCTGTATTATTAACATTACTTTCAAATCTTTTTGTAAACGGGTGTTTTACAAAGTTCTTTAGAAATTCTTCACATATATACTTGTACACACATAACTTTTTTCATAGACACTTTAAAAAAATTAATTCCTAGTTAAATAGTAAGTTATAAAAGAGATTAGAAGAGATAAAGGCTAGGGAAACTCGATAGTTTAGATAACATTGGACTTCATTGTTCCATAATTATAATGTACAGGATTGTAAAACAACTTTAACCACAAATATCATCTGCTTTCATGTATCATGTATGTAATACAATATTATTAACTACAATCACCAAATATCACCTTAAATGTTCTCACCACAAAAAGGAAATGGTAATAATGTGATGTGATGGAGATGTTAGTTAAGGTGGTAATCATTTTGCAATATATAAGTGTATCAAATCAACACATTGGCCACCATAACCTTATAGAATGTTACATATCAATTATATCTCCATACAGCTGGGGGGAGAATTAAATAAATGCTGGATAACCAAAAAAAATAATGCTTGACTCAATTATTAAGCAACTTTTATATATGTTTAAAACAACTTGGGTATGTGAATCTGCTTTTCCCTACTGGAAAGTTTATGAAATCTAAATACAGATTTAGTATTTTTGATACAAATTTAGCGTCCAAATTGAGATGGGCTATAACTATAGAACAAATGCTAGAATCTGAAGACTTAGGAAAAACATGTAAAATAGTTCATTAATAATTTTCATATTAATTACATGTTGACCTGATAATATTTTGGATATAGTAGACGTGCATTTAAATATCTGAGACTTAATAGATTGTATATATGATTCAAAGTAATTTTATGTTTTTGTGTGTTAATGTGTCACCTAGAACATTTAAAATTATACATGTAGTTCACATTACATTTCTATTGGATAGTCTCGAAAATGTCTACGAGTTCCTGATGCTCACTGGGTATACTCCCTCACTCAGCATTCTCTCAGGAGTCACCTTTATAGGACCCCCCTGGCACCCCTCATCTTCCTACAGGTATGATTTCCTCCCTTTTCCTAAACTCAGTGCTGGGTTTCAGAGGGGCACAGACACTCAGATGCACACTGGAGTAGAACAATCTGAGCCTCCTCGTCCACTTTCCATCACTGCTCTCCAGACCTGGCACCTCCAGTGTTTCCCCTCTGTCCCCCAAAACAGCAGCCCCTCCCTACCTGCCCACCTCTCATCCCAACGCTAAGCGGTGCTTTCTTTTTTAATTTTATTTTTCAATTGTAATTGACATTCAATATTATGTTATATCACTTCCAGGTGTACAGCATAGTGGTTAGATAATTATGTAAAACACAAATAGCAGTGGTTCTCAGCCTTGGCTGCACATTAGAATCACCTGGGGATCTTTTTAAAATCCTGATTTCTGGGCCTCATCATTAGTAACAAAGAAACAGAATTTCTGGAGAATGAGGCCCAGAAATCAGGATTTTAAAAAGATCCCCAGGTGATTCTAATGTGCAGCCAGGGTGGAGAACCACTGCACAGAGAGGCTTTCTTGGATCACAGAGGCTGAGCGGGCCTTGTTGCACGATGATTTATTTTCCTTTCCAAAAAAAAGGGAATCGAAATCTAACCTTCTGGGGTCCAACCCCAGCAGGTCCAGGGGTCCCCAAAGGTGTGGACAGAGTCGGCGAAGAAGGAATGACACAGAGACAGCGTTCAGTTGATCAGCAGCCTAGCCAGGATCTCTAGCCAAGTTCTGGTCAGGATCTTTAGCGAAGTTCTGGTTATGATCTCCAGCCAGGTTCTGTGTCCATGTTCTCTTGCTAGGTTCTCCAGCCAGGTTCTGTAGCCATGTTCCCTCGCTAGGTTCTCCAGCCAGGTTCTGTCCAGGTTCTCCAGCCAGGTTCAGTCACCAGGTTCTAGTCAGGTTCTCTTGCCATGTTCTATCCAGGTTCTGTAGCCAGGTTCTGTCTCTAGGTTCTTCAGCCAGGTTCTCTCGCTAGGTTCTGTCTCTAGGTTCTGTCTCTAGGTTCTGTGGCCAGTTTCTGTCCAGGATCTTTTGCCATGTTCTCTCCAGTGAAGTTCTTCTGTCTCTAGGTTCTGTGTCTAGGTTCTGTGTCCTGTTGTCTTGTTACATCTGTATTTATACCAGTTGATTCCAATCCTATCAATCTCTATTCCAAAGGTTAGGGCGTTTCTAATCTCTATTCCAGGGAGTAAAGATTATGTAGTTTAAGCATGATTGTTCGTAGTTAAAGTGATTAATTACCCGCCTGGCACTTAGTTAAGGAGTTTTATTCCCTCCCTAACTTCAGGGGAAAATCCCTACCTGGGGAAACAATCTTTCTCAGAGAGGTGACCTTGGTTAAAACACATAGTGCCAAGAAGGTGAGCAAACATATTAAGAACAGTATGCCATATATGCCAGGTCCCTTGAAACAGCAAGGATGGACCGGCTCCTGGCACTAACCCTTGTCCAAGTTTGATAGAAAAGTGGGGCTTGTCAAGTATTTTCTGGAACTTTTCTATCAACCTCAATCTTCTCACTTCAGTTAACATGGATTTAGGGGAGGGAGTGGAGAAGGGGAGGTGAAGACATAAAAGATAAGGCAGGCTTATGATTAGGGGGTCACCTCATACTCTATATAAACGTCTAACCACTATGCTGCATACCTGAAATTAATATAATATTGAATGTCAACTGTAATTGATTTTTTTTTATTAAAAATAAAGTAAGGCTTAGGACCAGCTTATGTAAGGGGGAACACACACACACACACACACACACACCGCACTGTGGGACATGCTATCACTAATATATAAATGAAGGGTGGAGCTGGCTTCACACAGGAGGTCACACTTGAGCAGGGCCTTGAATAACAAGCAGGATTTTTCCAGAAGAAAGAGCTGCCCATTTGCACCATCTGAAACATGCACTGTGCTGATTTTATGTGGAGCCGTCGGAGGGAAAGGAGAAGTAGCCATCAGCAGATGTAGACCGTGAGCTTTGCCTGATGACAACAGCGGGGTGAGGCTTGTCTGGCCTGGTGATGGGGAGGGCAGAAAGGAAAGAGGAAGGTCGCAAGAACTTGCCATTGCATAAGTGCTGTCGTTACAGAATCCAGCCCAGCAAATGCTTGCTGGTTCTGTGGCAAATGCTGAAATGGCACACGCATTTGTTAATTTAGCCAAAACCACAGGAAAGTGGTATGTCGATGCAGTAAAGCAGGAGAGAGAGAGAGAGCCTCATGCTGGGAGGCTGGAGACCTGCGTGTTAGGCTTTGCAATTCCCAGCCGTCCAGCCTTGGGCGAATCATCCTTCCTGGGTCTCACTGTCTCCATTTGTAAGATGAGAGGGAGAGCTCAGAGGCTGGAAACTGAAATGTACAAGGGATCCCGCAGGTAATGTAACTGTGTGTACGACATTAGGCAGCAGTGGAAACTGGGGAACCAGAGAACATGCCATAAGTAAGCCAGAGAATTTCAGAATTTAGAAACCAACTACTGTGCTGTCCAGAAAAGGCACCTGTAGGCGCCATTCGGCCAGCAGAACCAGTATGTGGTCCCTGACTAGATGAATTTCATTTTTAACAAGTCAAGGGGGGCTTGACTGCAGAAAATAGGAGTTAGTTTTTTTCATAAAGTGGGGGGAAACGGCCTAACTGGTTTGGCTCAGTGAATAGAGCGTCGGCCTGCGGACTGAAGGGTCCCAGGTCCCAGGTTCGATTCCGGTGAAGGGCATGTACCTGGGTTGTGGGCACATCCCCAGTAGGGGGTGTGCAGGAGGCAGCTGATTGATGTTTCTCTCTCATTGATGTTTCTAACTATTCATCTCTCTTCCTCTCTGTAAAAAAATCAATAAAATATAAAAAAATAAAAGTGGGGGAAAACTTTCATAGAACAAAAATCCTTTTTATTTAATTTCATTATTCAAGGTCTTCTTTTATGTGAGTTGCTTATACTGAGGTCCAAAAGATGAAATATTCCAAAGGATGGAATCTCAGGAAATGTGGGCTCAGGTAAGAATAAATTATTCTCACAGCTGAGCACGGGTTAGCGTTCAGCAGGGTGGAGGGCAGTCCAGAGGGCAATAACACCCAGGTTTTTTCTCTTCCCTTTTTTAGTCTTCAATGCAAAGCAAGTGATCTAATCAGAGTATTTGTTCAGAGGTGATTCACTTCTTCTGTTCTCTATGAGGTCAGAATTTTGCAATAGGGGAGGAGTTAAATTCACAATAGGTTTCCACACTCCAGTGTGTTACCACAGAAGATGTGTCTTGCCTATTTATAGCACAAGAGGGCGTCTATATTCAGACCCACTGCTCAGAACCGGGGAATCTGGGGAGCAGGAAACATTTGTGGGGCGGCTCTGATGGATACACGTCACCCCACCAGCCCAGGCCTCGGCCTCTGCTCCAGCTACCAGACAGGCCAGCGGAATAGGGCTCAGCTACAGGAACTTCTTCCGCAGGGTCCTCAGTCAGGAAGGAGAACTCAGAAAATCTCTCTGGACAACCCTCTGATGGGACTGCTTCCTCTGTGGAATGTGGAGTCATGTGACTTCTGCTCAGCTCGGTCCCAGTGTATGTTTAAGAATTGGATGCCTTGGAAACTAGATGACTTTCATTTTTTAACAAATCAAGGGGGCCTTACCTGCAGAAAATAAGAGTTAATTTTTTAGGAGTTCCTTTCCCTTTAAAACCTTGGAAATCCCGTTGCTATGCCTAGGAAGTTTGCTCACGCATTCATTCATTCCACTAACATGTTAGGTGCCTCCTGTATGCCTGGACCTCAGTAGAGGACCTAGCTGCCATGCTCCAAGGGACTCGGGGACTTGGTATACTTGGCATCAGACAGCTGTTGACCGGCCTCCATCTAATTGAGGTAGGGACAGGCCTTGCACTTGGCAGATATGAAGGAGGTGATGACAACTGCTGTTCTCGTTCGATCACAGACGATGCAAACAAGCTCTGTGCCAGCAATGGGTTATGGGGAGAAATTACAAGGAGTCCCTGTCTTCAGAGGAGCTCCGGTTCATAAATATAAATGGCAATGCAGTATGGCAGTCATAACAAGTAAAATGACTATTTCAGTCCAGTGAGGAGGTCAGAGAAAGTTTGAACTGAGTGGTATATTGCAACTTTGGTGCCCTCATCAAACTACATCCCCTCCCCCCTTGCAGGTATCCATCTCCTGCGTGGTCCCCTCCCATCATGAGTCTGGGTTTAACCAGGTGACTAGCTGCAGCCAAGAGACATCAGTAAGACTGATGCAAGCTGCAGCTTGAGAAGCACTTGCACAACAGGGCTTGCTCTCTTGGAATGCTTCTTCCTGGAACCTGGCTGCCATCATGCCTTAAGGAACTCAATCAGCCATGTGAATGGGACAATGGTGAGGTTACCCCTGAGACCTGCCGGCAGGTCTGGCAACGCCCAGTTGAGTCAGGAAGTCCTGCCAAAATCATTCACTGCCTGCGTAATCATTTCTTAAGCCCACATTGGGAAAACAGCACTCGCTGGGGGCAACTTTCCTTTCCCTTTAAAACTCTCTGACTTAAAGCTCCAGTGTCAGAAAATAAAAGGAAGCATCCCATGGACCTCTTTATGTTGTATGACTTTACAATGCAGAAAAAAATGGGCTGAAGAAAAGATATGCCTGGCCAGTGAGAGGAGGGAAGGGGGACTTCTATATTTTTTTTAAATCACAGAATGATTGAAGCACAAGAAAAATATAGAGAATAATATCTGCCACCCAGCTTTGCCGATCTTTGAATTTCCTGCATTTATTTCTAATCATTTCAGTACAGATGAGACTCCTGTGTACCCCTTCCCAATCCTTCTCCTCACCCTCCCTCCCTCCTATATGTTATTTCCCATCCCCGTGCATGTACTTATATATTCACTATATATGAGTGTGTCCTAAAGAGTGTTTTGAATGTTCCAAATTTTCACACTAATCATATCAGACTTTACGTAACCTCTACAGCCTGCTGTTTTTGCTCGATGATGTGTTTTGAGACTTAGCTATGTTAATACATGTCGCTCTTGTTCACTCATTTTACCTTTATTAGGTTCCATTTTTAAGATATTTATCCATTTTCCTGTTGTTGGGCACTTGGATTATTTCCATGTTTTTTTCAGAGAAACAATGCCGCAATGATTTATGGCGCGATTGGTAGGCCAACGTGCACGTGTAGAAGACGTTCTAGGAGAAACACCTGTGTCATAGGAGGGAGCGTTGAACGCGACATAAATCCTGGGTTGCATTTTGAGTTCAGAAACTGCAGCCAAGGGCATATGAGATGTGCCTCATCTTCCACCTTGAGGGCCCCATATCCTAGGTGAGTGAGTGTGGCCACCACTCCAAGAATGTGGTTCCAAACAATGCCCTTCCATCCAGACTCAGCTGGAACCCTTTCTCTTGTCTGTTTTTTCCTTTAGATTTACAGTGGGAGATAAGGACATTCTGGAGTGTCCTGATGATTCATACTGAGTGTGACAGTAGGAGAGTCAGGAGGGAGGGCATGACTGTTTAGAGAAGGGAAAAAATGGGGTTATTCTGGAAAATCAGGAGGATTGACGTTCCGCTCACCTATTCCTGGGTCACAAGCCACCCAGCAAAGACTTACTATTCTCCTAATTCTGTGGATGCCTTTATTGATCTCTCCTGGGCTTCCTCACCTGGTTGGTTTCAGCTGGAGGACTGGCTGAGTGGAAAGGCCCTAAGGGCCCTGCTCACATGTCTGAAACTTGGTGCTGGTGGTCAGCTGGGTCACCTTGCCTCCCCTCCACTTGGTCTCACCCTCCACTAGGCTAACCCAGCTTCCTTACACGGTGGTCTTGGGAAGCTTTCTACGAGAGAGGGAGAAGACTCTATACAAACTCTTGCAGGCAAGGCCTTGAATTCACATAGCATCACTTTCTGCTCAACGCCATTGGCCAAAGCAGATCCCAAGGCCAACCCAGGGTTAAGGACAGGACAGGTGCACCCTCCCTCTTGTCAGAAGGAGCAGCGAAGCCATGGGACAATGCAAAGAAGCGTGGGACAAATCGCCTCAGCGTCTTTGAAAACCATCTGCCCTGATGGGGCGGCTTGGGCAGAGACGAAAATGTAACACTCACCATTGGGGTTGTCTCCGGAGTCTTCTGTGCAGCTCCCCAAATAGGCCACGATGACACCAGGCTCATCAGCCGGGATTTCCTGGCAAGGAAGAGGCTGGTGGAGGGAGAGAGCTTTTAAATGATCGATGCTTGCGGGTTCTTCTCTTCACCTGAGAGTTCAATAAGGACTCTACCTTCGACCGTTGTGAATTAGCTCCTTAAAAGGCTCTTTTTGGTGTGGATAGTGCATTGTGCTAGCTGCTGAAGATACAGCAGTGAACACAAGAACTATGGTCCCTCCTACCTCGGAGCTTTTGGTCTATGGAAAGGAAAGAGGCATGAAACAATTAATGACACAGTTAAAGATTGAACGACAGTGGTGTAATGCCACAGGAGAAGTAAGGCATGCGGAGTGAAGATAAAAGGAAGTGGGGGCCCTGGCCTGGTGTCAGGATCAAGGAAAACTCCCTTGAGGAAAACATGGAGCTAATTTTTAAAATATGTTTTTATTGATTTCAGAGAGGGGAAGGGAAAGGGAGAGAGAGAAACATCAGTGATGAGAGAGAATCATCGATTGGCTGCCTCCTGCACACCCCCTACTGGGGATAGAGCCCACAACCCGGGCATGTACCCTGACCCGGAATCTGTGGGGAGCTGATATAGGATTAAGCCTCGGACTGACCTGTTGGCAAAGTCACAAACAAGTCCCAGCTTAGAGGGCACAGTCCTCTTAGCATAATTAGGCTTGACCTTATGATGCTCCCTGGATCTTATCTGGGAAGCTCATGGCCTGAGGGAAGTGCAGCAAGAACAAGAACAAAAACAAGTGAAACTCACAAGAACAGTGTAAATAAGTGAAACTCACAAGAACAGTGTAACCATGGTAACCACTACCTTGTTTACCTCTGACTATAAAATAAAGGCTCAACTTGTCTCAGGATCTTTCTCTGTGGCCTCAGCCTGGCACAGGAAGATCCATGGAGACTAAAGAGAGCTAGAGAGTTCTGAATGCTGTCTCCATCCACACCTTTGGGAACCCCTGGACCTCTGGGGCTGGACCCCGGCAGGAATCAAACCGTAACTTCCTGGCTCATGAGTTGACACTCAACCACTGAGCCACACCAGCCAAGCAGGAGCTAATTTTTGAGGACTCAATAGGCATTACACAGGCTAACACAGTGAAGGAAGGCGGTAATGAATAACTCAAGCAGAAGAAACAGCAGGTACTGAGTTCCTAGGAAGGGAAGAAGCCCACGTGTTTGAGGAGCTGAGAAAACAGAAAAGGAGAGAGTTGACCAGATGAGACTGGAGAGCAGGCAGGAGGCACGTCATGCAGACCTGGTAGACCACGTAAAGGATTTGGGTCTGTCCTGAATTGGTGTTCTCATAAGACAAGAGACCCTAGGAGAGCACGTGCGCTGAGGAAAAGCCACGTGAGAACAGCGAGAGCCACCGCTGCCAGCCAAGGAGAAAGTTCTCACCAGAAACCAGACCTGCCAACACCTTGATCTTGGACCTCCAGCCTCCAGGACTGTGAGAAAATAAGTTTCTGTTGCTTAGACCACCCAGTCTGTGGCATTTTGTTCTGGAAGTCCTAGCAGACTAATACAGTATGTGAAATACTCAGATTTATGCTCTTAAAAGGTCATCCTGGTTGCTACGTGGTAGATGGGCCAAAGGAACAAAAATTGTTAGTTGGAGATCTATTAGGAGCCTAGACAGACAACTGGGCGCACACAGAGACACCTTGTTGTTGCTGTTTCGAGATTCCCATGTAACCAAGGGAACCTACCCACAAAGCCAGCTTGGGTTTTTCCTCTTTCATCAGCTGGCCGTTTCAGATCCTCCATACAGCCATGAGCATGGGGAAGGGGCATGGATGTGACTGTGGTGGGTGCTATAGGGTTTCTGAGCTTCCTGCTTGCTATGCCTTCTGGTCCCACTCACGCTCAGAGATGCACCCCTCCCACCTCACTGTGGATTGTGGCTGGGCCCACTCAACCTTCCCATGTGGTCGTTCTGACAGGACTCAGGTCCTGAGGGGTAATTCCAGCTGCATGGTCACTTGGTGTCCTGTACTCAGAGGTACTGTCTGTCCCAGGACCCAGAAGTATGCAGAAGTTGTTTTTCAAAAGACGTTTAGTTCTCTATCCAGAGGGCATGGCCTCGCTCCAGAACCCAAGGTCTGCATTGGGTTTCTTCCACAGGGGACTGGCCACAAACTCTATGTGGCATCTTTACCTCCAACACCATAGAGTCAAGCAGATCATACGGCTGCAGCCAGGGCGCCCCCTGCCCCCACCCTCTCATGTGATCCATTGTATGGGCCAGGCACAGCCCAGCCAGCCTTTCCCACCCTCTGATGGCCACCAGAAGGGAGTGTACATGCCTCCACCAGGTGCTCAAGTCCTTAGGCGTTTGCTAAACACTGCTCTTTTTTTCTGTCTTTCTTTTATAAAGTTTAAAGTTAATGGAGCTTATTACTGAAGCATGCCAAACACTTTCTTATTTCATACTTACAACTTCCTATGAAGCAAGACTAGCCTCCTTGTCTTACAGATGAGGAAACTGAGGCACAGAGAAGTGAAGAGACCTGTTCAAAAATGCTCCACAGTGTGAGATAAAACCAACAAAAGAATACTAGGAGCCTCCAACTAGGCCAGGGATGGCGAGCCTATGACACGCGTGTCAGAGGTGACACGCGAACTCATTTTTTTGGGTTGATTTTTCTTTGTTAAATGGCATTGAAATATATAAAA